ATAGATAGATAGATAGATAGATAAGAACTAAGTTAGACAGATAAATAGAGATGAACTGACGCAGATAGATATTGACGTAGATAGATAGGAACAAAGATAGATCAATGGACAGATATATAGATATGAACTCACTGAAATAGATAGATAGGAACAAACTTAGGTACATAAGAACGAAATTAGTAGATAGATAGATAGATAGATAGATAGATAGATAGATAGATAGATAGATAGATAGAACTAAGACAGATAAATAGATATGAACTGACACAGATATTCAGATAGATAGGATAGATAAATAGATAGATATATAGATATGAACTGACTCAGATCGATAGATAGATAGAAACAAACTTAGATATGAAGGAAATAAGTAGATAGATAGACTGATAGATAGATAGGGACTAAGATAAATTGATATGAACTGACAGAGATAGATTTTCAGATATATAGATATAAACTGACTGAAAAAGATAGATAGATAGATAGGAACGAACTTAGCTATGAACGAAATTAGAAGATATATATATATATATATATATATATATATATATATATATATATATATAGATAGATAGATAGATAGATAGATAGATAGATAGAAACTGAGATAGATAAATTGATAAATATATATGAATTGACTCAGATAGGTAGATAATGAAAGGAATAAGATTGATAGATATATAAATAAATAATTAAAACCTAGATTATGTCGACAAAAGAGAAACAAATTAAATGAAATTAATGCAAATGTAGAAGACGAGAATAATAAGTAATCAAGTGTATTTATCCAGGAAGGAGAATTTTACTCTATGTTATAAAATCTCCTATAAAGTTAATGAAATATTTTCGAGCACGCGGTAAAGGAAAAAAATGCTTACGGCTACATTAGGTTGAAACACCAGTTCCCGTACGAAAACCAAAGTTAAGCAACGTCGAGCCTGGTCAATATCAGGTGTTGTAAGCTTTGATATACGGGTGATAATCACAGACTCAAGTTCCACTTCCAGGTGTCTTCGTAATGTTAACTAAAATCTAAAAAAAAATATTTTCTGGCTTTAAATAACGCGGAAATGGTTGATAAACCGTAAAAAATGCAAAAGAAATAAAATCTGACTGGGACCTTTTCATGTAATAACTCCATTTTAGTCAGCCATAACATTTTATATTTGTTCGTTTTTTTTCATTTTAAATCATTTCAAACGCCCCCCCCCACTACCAAGCAAGAGCAATAAAGCTACTAAGATGTAAGAATTCTAGAGTTTGAAAGACTATGAGAAAAAACATTAAAAAAAAAGAGAGAGAAAAAAAGCGACGGAATAAGAAGACAGAGGATGACGATTGGCATTGCATTTAAATTTTTGATGATCAAAATTGACTGGAAAGCAAAAGTGCAGAAGGGAGATCCACAAGTGAGAAGTGCGAGAAAAGAAACTGTTAGCATTGAACTTACACGGTTACATTTTCCGAGAGGCCATTAGCTGTTTACTTTTATATGAAACAGATTTCTCTGGATTAACTCGGTATATAACCGTGTATAAGTCGATTTTATTTGGATTTTATCTAGAATCTCTAAATACAAATTTAATCAAAGTTGGTTGGAAAGCATGGAACCGCAGTAGAGTACCACAAGCGAAAAGTCGAGAAAAAAACTGTTAGCATAAAATTTACGGTTACATCGAGTCACCACACGCACATCTTTCTTCCAGGATTTCAGATTCTGGGTCCGTATGTGGTGATGTTCCATCTGCGTTGAACATTATGGAATGGCCGTGTATTCTAAATTTATTCTGAACTGCAATGTAAGATTCGTTTCTTGTGCAATATATTCAGTTGATCCTCCAAGAAAGGATATGATGACTCAACCTGATGAAAGTGATAATCATTAGTTTAATTATTAAAAAAAAACAACTTATTATGCAGAGCTAGATAAAACGAAACAGACGAAACACAACGAAAGATAAGATGAAAGAATCAAAGAGCGCGAAAGACAATGAGAGCGAAAGAGAGCGAGAGAGAGAGAGAGAGAGATGGGAGAGAGAGAGAGATGGGGGGAGAGAGAGAGAGATGGGGGGAGGGGGAGAGGGGAGAGAGAGAGATGGGGAGAGAGAGAGAGAGATGGGGGAGAGAGAGAGGGGGAGAGAGAGAGAGAGGGGAGAGAGAGAGAGATGGGGAGAGAGAGAGAGAGAGGGGGGAGAGAGAGGAGAGGGGGAGAGATGGGGAGAGAGAGAGAGATGGGGAGGGGAGAGATGGGGGAGAGAGAGAGAGATGGGGGGAGAGAGAGATGGGGGGAGAGAGAGAGAGGGGAGAGAGAGAGAGAGGGAGAGAGATGGGGGAGAGAGAGAGGGGGAGAGAGAGAGATGGGGAGAGAGAGAGAGAGAGAGGGGGAGAGAGAGAGATGGGGGAGAGAGAGATGGGGAGAGAGAGAGAGATGGGGGAGAGAGAGAGAGAGAGATGGGGGAGAGAGAGAGAGAGATGGGGAGAGAGAGAGGGGGGAGACCATGAAAAGAGAAAAAAACTCGACTTGATGGAAGGTAGGCAATTCCTTAGTATTGATCTTCGATACAAATCGAACGGGGATTTGCTTTTCTATAGCATTGATCTTTACATCTCCCCGACAGTTTCCAAGAGATATTCTCTTAATCTCTTCTTTTACTTGTTGTTAATCCCTTTCAGTGTTTTTGACTTAACCCATCAAAAGCACAAGCGTCCATAGATCTTATTTTGACCCGACGGGCGGCGTACAAATCCCCAACCCATAACGTTTTCTCGACGCTACTTTCCTGTCTTGAGTCAAGTGATCTTAATTCCTGTACGAAAAGCGTTTCACTTCATAAAATCTGCAGTTGGTTTACTTTGTGAAAAAACGTTGTTCAGGAAAGAAGATAAAAAAAAAAAAATCAGGGAACTGCATTTTCAGCATTCTTTGTAAGTTTATTGTTCTGATGGATGTCGTATATATTTTTTGAGAAGATAAAACATACCTTAATCTGTTTATAGGTATTTATCTACATTGACTGTCTACCAAGCTCTTTGTGTCTACTAATAGCAATCTATAGTTTTTCACATTTTCAGTCTGTTTTTATCTATCCAAGTATGTTCTTCTCACTGAGTCAGTTCATTATCTATCTATCTATCTATCTATCTATCTATCTATCTATCTATCTGAGTCAGTTCATTATCTATCTATCTATCTGAATCAGTTCATTATCTATCTATCTATCTGATTCATATCTATCTTCATTCTCTATCTATCTATCTATCTATCTATCTATCTCTATCTGATTCATTATCTATCTCTATCTATCTGAGTTCATTATCTATCTATCTATCTGATTCATTATCTATTTATCTATCTAACTATCTATCTATCTACCTGAGTTCATTATCTATCTATCTATTTATCTATTCATTATCTATCTATCTATCTATCTATCTATCTATCTATCTATCTATCTATCTATCTATCTATCTGAGTTCATTATCTATCTATCTATTTATCTGAGTTCATTATCTATCTATCTATCTATCTATCTATCTATCTATCTATCTATCTATCTATCTGAGTTCATTATATATCTATCCATCTATCTATCCATCTAGAAAGGCGTATTAAGAACTACGTGCAGATTGATAAACATTACTAAACAAACACACCCGCATATTTTTTTACGCATTTCCCAACAAGCAAGGCGCCAGTGCCACTAACACGCAAGGAGTTTACAGAGGGTGAATGTAAGATAAAAGACTGGAGGATTGAGGAAAGGATAAAAAGAAAAACGGGGATCAAAGTCAAGGCATTCGATAGGCGTTCAATATTTAAATATTTGAAGATTATAGTTACTAGGGAAGCAAGTAAAAGGAAAGGAGTTCCACTGTCGGGAAGGACGAGAGAAGAAGCTGCTAGAATAGAAGAGCTCGTTCCATGTTACTGTTTCGACAGTAAAAGGCTGGGACCGACCTGCCAAACTAGTAGCCTGCTTAGATTCTTGCAGTCGGTGCACCAGTGAAAATAGCTCCTCAGATCAGATGCTATGAAAATATTTATAAAAAAAGACAACGAGAAGCCACATCACATTTGTGAGAAAGTGACTGGAATCGTGATGCCATGTCAGTCACATTGCATATCAGTCTTTGGGTTTTGTCGAGAACCGTGAGAGGGAAAGCGGGTGTACCAGACCACATATGGCAACAGTATTCAGTGCATGGACGAATGGTACATTTGGAGATGTGAAGAATGGACTCAGACGAGAATACCTTTTGGAACGACACGGAGAACCAACTTTAATTCCGGTAAATGCAACTATTGATTGCAAAGTGTAAGATTTTTTTTCCAATTGTCATTTGATGCCAATCTGTCTTGTCCACAGAATTCATCTGGGAATTTAATTATTGATTCAATGTAGTTGTTCCACCTGGAGAACGTGAGACCAAGAAGGCGCACTGACACGCTCTGGTGAAGTTGAGCATCAACATTGCTGATAGGAGGCAGGGAAATGAGAGAAGTTTTGTTTTGAAGGCATTAAAATTTACAAGCCATTTCTTGCCCCATTTAACCACAGATTGCAGATTCTTTTTAAGATCAACGGCCAGGTTAATTTTGTCAGCAATGCTGGATTTACTATTGAGACAGGAGTAAATGGTAGTGTCGTCTGCGTTGATACTTACTTGAGAACTGATGACATCAGGGAGATCGTTTACGAAGATCAGAAATAGTGATAAAGCCTTGGGAAACACCAGAGTTTGTATGAAAGGAACTGGGAAAGAACTAGTTCAGGGCGACCTTCATTTTACGTTTTGACAGGAATAATTGGATTAAATCAAATAAACGTCTAATGATACCATATCCTGAAGCTTCTGTAGAAGGCCGGCATGACAAACCCTGTCAAACGTGTTCGAAACACCTAGAGCCACATCTCGAGCTTCGGCATTATTGTCAAGAGCTTGGTATGCAAATTCAATTATAGTCGTAAACACGTCAAGGGTAGACATGGCAAAGCAGAAATCATATTGTTTGTCAGAGAGTACGTCATGGGAGGTAAGGTGCTTAACTACTTCGACATTGATTAAATTCTTGAAGCCTACCAAAGAATGGTGGGAGACTGATAGGACGGTAGTTAGATGGGTCAGAAAGGTCTCCAGAGTTCTTGAAATCAAGGACAACAGAGGAGGACTTCCAACAGGCTGGAAAGCAAGAATGAGCGAGGCAATAGTTCTACAGTTTGAAGAGAACTGGAGCAAGCTCAGGAGGACATTTCTTTCGGACTACGGCTGTTATCTTGTCACCAGCTCTTGCTTTATGTGAGTTTCATTTAGAGATGGTGTCCAGTGCCTTCGCCGGGGTTATGCTAATCTCACTCAATAGAACCTCAGTTCTTGAGTAAAAATCAGATGTGGGTACTCCGGATGAGTCGATTGTTGATTTGGATGAAAATTTCCGGGTAAACCATTCACCCTTATCAGCTGTGGATGTTAAAACTTCGAATGGATTAAACTGAGAATTTGCTGTCGTTCGGCACACTCTTGCACAGCCGCTAATAATCTTTAGAACCAAACTTGTGAGATGCATTACGTTGTTTCATTCTATCAGCAAACAATAACTTTACTTCACTGAGGAAAAGCTTGCGCTCATTACGAGCAGAGACGAAGAGACGTCTGTTCTAATCAGCCATATCGCTCCGATAAAGATGGAAGAAGTGATTCTTATGGACTATAGCGGCTGAACAAATACCCGGGAACCAAGGTTATGAACGCGATTTAACTAGGTATTTTCTTCATGTGATATAAGCCTCGGCGCCGGCTTTTACTCAGGAGGTGTTGTGGAGTGATTTCGCAGTGGAAGCTTGCATTTGTACTAATCGGTCCTAAAATAGGTTCGGCGTACAAAACGTTAGGAACTTGATATAATAGATATTACGCAGAGTAATCTAGTTGTGGTCGCTGATACTTGCGTATTCGACTGTCGTCCGACATCGACTGACTGACAATATTCAGTCAACCCCACGAGGGTGTCATTGGCACAAGGCCTTTTAACGTGGGGAATTCCCGAGCCATTTTATAGTAGGTAGGAACCCGTATGAACGGGTCCAGGGCCTTTAACCTCCCTGAAGGAACTATAGAATTCCTCCCCGCCCGTGGAAGAGAGTTTAACCCCAAAAGTGAACGACTGACTCACATCGACGACTGACAACCGTCGTTTCTCTTACTACTTCTATTTATAGTAGGTGGACCTAACAGGAGGAGACCTCAGACGCACATTTTTGAATGGGATGATTAAAAACCACATTCCAAGCGACGTCGCGAAGGAAATCAGGGAACGAGTCCCAGACTGCGCGTTTATAAAAAAAAGATATTCTGTTTGCATCAGGTTCCTGGGTGGAGGGGGAATGAAAGAAGATGTTAACAGACACTAACGAGTGATCAGAGTTGCCGAGGGGGGCAGAGCTGTAGCGCGAAAAGAATCAGTGATGGAGGTAAAACAGAAATTGAGAAAGGCAAGCTTTACCGTTAGGGTTACTGGGGAAACGCGTAGGAAAGTCAACTACTTGCGTGAGGGATTGAATGATTGAAAAGTTAAGGGTTTGGATGCCAGCGTGGTTAGTTACACATTGTTTAAGCCACATGGTATAGTGGGCGTTAAATCACCGAACACGAATATGTTAACAAACGGATGTAGAGATGGCTTCGTCTATCGTATCGAAAATGCTATCGAAACACTTTGTCCATAAAAAATTTACACTTTGCCTGATATATATATATATATATATATATATATATATATATATATATATATATATATATATATATATATATATACATCATACTCACACACACTTATATATAAGGTATATTTAGCTATAAATATTCATCGGAACAAGTTTTTCTTTTAATTTTTCCCATATGTTCAGTATTGTGGATAAATAAAGTTCATATATTGTATTATTTTTGTTTACGTAATTTTGAATATCGCTGTCATTATCAAGAACCGATGTGATGTCTTTGTGGTAATGAAAATTTTCTGTTTCCTCTAATTTGTTGGGAAAACGTTTGAAATGGTTTAATCCTCATGTGTAACAAAAAAAATTCTTATCTATCTATCTATCTATCTATCTATCTATCTATATTAAATAAAAACAGACCATTTAAACACCATGTCATAAATTATTTCACCATAGAACTATCATCAGAATTTACTTATGAAGAAATTCATGACATATATTTAATAAAATAATATCAAAGATAGAGCTAAAATACAAATATAATAGTGAACATTAACACATCTTAGAGGAGAAATAATTTAAATAAAAATATCATACATACATGCATACACATAATAATATTATTTTAAAAAAATTCCAAGAGGATAGAATCCAGATAGAATTCAATGTCCGGGACAGAGTAAGGATATAATAAAGTTAAACACTAATATTCCATGGAATATTAGTGTTTAAACATATATATATATATATATATATATATATATATATATATATATATAAAACA